CGTGCTATTCAGGCTGGGCTACCGTGTCAATGTCTTGTAAAACCACTCAGAGCTAGAGAACATTCATGCTATTGCATACTTCTTGCGAAGAAGAGCCCTTGAGCTGAAGCGGCGACCCTCAAAACTTGACACACTTTTCCTGATACAGCCGCCTTAGGAGAGTTCGTACACCCCGGAGTAATTTGAAAGCCGGGTCGCGAAAGCTTCTTGTGCACATGGAAATGCGGTTCAACCCAACTCTGCACCGAGAACAAACTCAGCATGATACGCGTCTCAAGAAGCAGAAAACCAGGCATGCAGAAAGGCATATCGTGCGAAGAAGTTCCTTTTTCATCCTGCGCAGCGAAGAACCGGACAAGATTCCGAAGTTCCCAATTAACGGCATGCCGTATGCGCAGTGCCACTCCACAAGCTGCAGTTCTCAACAGGCCTCGCAGAAACCGGACGTGTCTCTGTCGCAGATTTCCTCTGCACGCATCTTTAGCCACGTATTTTGAATCGGACATTGGCCTTGTCGATGTTTCCGCTGGACACTTGGATTGGACTAAGGCTTCAACTTCGACGACAGCCAAAGGACACCCCACGCCGGAGGAGGAATGAAACACACCTCGGCCTCACACAAAAAACTCTTTGGCTGAACTTTTTGGCTGTTACCGAGAGTTCTCGCGCGCGGAATCGGTGTAGTCTTTGGCCTGATTCCACGACCAACGAGACACACGAGCTCTTTTCATATCTCGACAGTGGAGTCGGTGTAGTCTTCCTTATGACTGATTCCACATTACACAACCGTTAAGTCCAAGACTGGTGATACTAAACTTTTCTGCGAAGTCGATCAATTACACAGAGGATGTACACAAACAGCGTGCACTCACCGAAAGCATCAATGTAAAATCTCACAAGAACACAAAGCGCGAAAAATGACGTGCAAAGACCAGGAGCTGGTCATGCGGATGCATGCTGCTGCAAGGAGCTTATAAGCAGACTTCTGCGCTTGAATGGAGCGGCAATCATGTCCAGCTAGACGTCCTGAACGACCCTAATAGTCCCGAAACTCTAAACCCTCTAAACCCTACTCGACTGAAAAGGCAGCCGACCTGCAACGGACTCTCTGCAGGGCAGCATGGTCTTGATTCGACAAGCTGAAGGTTTGGCGTGCAGGCCTGCATGCCTGGGTTGAAGGGTGATGGCTGAAAGAGGGATTTGTGCTTTTGCTGGCTTGCAGAGGTGACACGACAAGGTCTTGGTCAAGAGAACTTCATCCAAACAGCCTTGTGCACGCATGTTACAGGTGTGAGATGGGGGAAGACGTCCTGCGATAAAGGCGATCCATGTAAATGCGTCAAATACACTTATGAGAGAGATGAGAGATGGGCATCGGCAAGGAAAGGCAAGGGATCAGAATCCGCGCCCCGGCCCCGCAGCGGAGAAGCAAGCAAATCGCCATCATGGGTGCGGGGCCGCGGGCAGCGCGCAGATGGCATGTGCTGGAATATCGAGCGGGATGTGCCGGGGAATATGTGGCTTTCTTTGGCTTCTGGTACAACCTCTGCAAAAAGCTCGGCCTGGAACTGGAACACTGACTGAGCA